TGAGGATTTCGTTGTATCTTGTGATGCATCCATCGCTGGTTTAGGGGCAGTTCTTATGTAGAGAGGGCAAGTTGTTGCATATGCTTCTCGGAAGCTAAAGTCGCATGAAGCGCGATATCCTACTCATGATCTGGAGTTTGGGGCAGTAGTGTTTGCCCTCAAGATTTGGCAGCACTACTTGTATGGGGTACGGTGTACTATCTACACGGACCACATGAGTTTGAGATATCTTTTGGACCAGCCGAACATAAACATGAGGCAACACATGTGGCTTGACATGGTCAAGGATTATGACTGCGAGATTCTTTACCATCCAGGTAAAGCGAATGTGGTTGCGGATGCTTTGAGTCGAAAGTCAGCTGAATCTTTGGTTGGGGGTGTGTGTATGAGAATATCCATTGATTCTCCACTTTTGGATTTGATCATAGGGGCACAAGCAGAAAGAGTTAAGAATGAGAACTACAAACAGGAGAGGATCAGGGCCGAGATTGACAGGTTGGTCACTGATGGTCGGGGACTATTGACCCGGTGTGTTCGAGTTTGGGTTACATTTTCTGGAGGGGTCAGCCATATAGTTTTGGATGAGGCACATAAGTCTTGCTTTTCGATACACCCGGGAGCCACCAAGATGTATCAGGATTTGAGACTAAGTTACTGGTGTCTGTGTATGAAGAGGGAGATAGCTTGGTATGTTGAGAGGTGCTTGACCTGTAGGATGGTCAACGAGCATCAGAGGCTACATGGCAAGCTACAGCCTTTGGAGGTTCCGATGTGGAAGTGGGAACAGATCACCATGGATTTTATCACCAAGCTACCAAAGACTGGCAAGGGTTTTGATGTTATCTGGGTCATCGTGGATCGATTGGCCAAAGGTGCCCACTTTTCGGCCATCCGAGAGAGCTCATCGGCCGAGAATTGGCCGATGTGTATGTTCGGGAGATTGTTGCTCGTTACGGTGTTCTGATTTCCTTTGTATCAAGCCGAGATGTTCGGTTCACTTCTCAATTCCAGCAGAAGTTCCACGAGGAATTGGGTATGTTGTGGGCTTGTGTCATAGATTTTGGTGGGAGTTGGGATTATTACCAACCTCTTGCAGAGTTCTCATACAACAACAACTATCACTCCAGCATTGGTGCACCGCCCATTGAGCTTCTATATGGTCGGGGATGTCGTACCCTAATTTTTTGGGGGAGGATGGTCATAGAGTCTTGGGGAGGACTAAGGTGCTCCTGCATACTATAGAGCTCATCCAACAGATTAGGCAGAGACTGCAAACAACTTAGAGTCGGCAGAAGAGCTATGCCGACCGATGTCAATCAGAGTTGGAGTTACAGGTCGGCGATATGGTACTACTGAATGTCTCACTTTGGAAGGGTGTGATACGTTTCAAGAAGATCGGAAAACTAGGTCCCCGGTATATTGGACCATTATGTGTGATCGCCAAGGTAGGCAGGATAGCCTACTGGTTGGATTTGCCGAGTGAGCTCAGTCAGATCCACAACACTTTCCATATTTCATAGTTATGGAAGTGCGTGTTGGACGATGAGGCAATGGTCCATTTGGATGATATTCTGGTTGATGAGCACCTGAATTATATTGAGAGGTCGGTGGCGATAGTGGAGAGAAAGATGAAGGTCCTATACAACAAGGAAATACCTTTGGTAAACGTTCAGTGGCAACATCGGAGAGGCTCCGACTGGACCAAGGAGTCGGAGGCGGAGATGCAGGAGCATTATCCAAAATTATTTGCAGCATCAGACTTTGAGGACTAGTCTAGTTCAAGTGTGGGAGAATTGTAACATCTCGATGATGAGGTATTTTAAATTTTTAGTCCTATGTATGAAGGAATATTGCATTTTGACCCTTGTGCTTGAGAAAGATTGAAAGAATGACCCATAGTGAGATTTTGGTGATTTTGGCCAAAGTTTTAGTACGTTGGGCGTACGTTGTGTACGCTAGGCATACTGGGGTAGACCCTAGTATGCAGGGTGTACGTGATAAATTCTCAAACCCTAATTTTTAGGGTTTGGTCCATATATAAGCATCATTATCACCTCATTTCTCATTCCCTCGTCAGCCTCCACCTGAGAAAACATCCCTCTTTCTAACCCTAAGTGAGAAGAGTGCATCTTGAACTCATCTTTGTGTTTTGGTGACATTCTTGAAGAAGAAGAAGAAGGTGGTGGAAAGACCTTGAAGCTTGGAAGCAAGTTAGATCTGAGATTCTCTTCTTACTAGCACCCTCCAGGAGGTAAACAGTTCCTTTCTTGACCATTTTATCTTGTAGATCTAGCCATGTCTTCATTTAGGCCATTTTTGTTCCCAACTATGATGATATCTAATAAGTCATCCTTTCAGACCTAATGAGGGGTCTTGAGTCATAAAAATGTGGTCTTGATGCTTAGTTTTTCCCCATGCTTTCTCTAGAAGGTGTTAAGGTGTTAAGAAGTTGGTATTTTGTGTATTCAACACTTATTACGCGTGCGAAGTCATAAAGTTGGAAACTTTATGACTCTTAGTTGTATTTTGGCATTGGATCTGCATTCATACATAATAAGTAAAAAAATTAAGCTCTTAGTGTGGAAAGTGTGACTTCGGTGCGTACACTATACGTACCTCTGCATACGTCGAGCATATGAGGTCAACTGCCCGATCTCGGTTAAGGCTCGAGTACGCCCCGCGTACATCCAAAGTACGCCCCACATACGAGTTCTAAGCTGAGTCAACTGAGTTGACTCGGTTGGCTTGACTCGCTGACTTTGACCTTCGACCAGAGCTTGACCAAGATGCCCTAGGGGTATTTTGGGTATCTGAGTTATTATTTAAAGATTAGGTTCTTGATTTTGGTTAGGTGATCGTTAAGCAAATTTTGAGAGTAGAGTTTTATTCAGTTTGCATTCCGACTAAGAGGTGAGTTTCCTCACTGTTATTGTGGGTGGAAGGCACCAATGATGGCCCCTATATAGGGTGTTACTATACGGTAGTGATTTGTAGATCTGTCTACTAGTCTGTTATCTGGTTATATGATTATCTGTTGCTGGATATATGTTATTCGTTATGTATATCTCAACATGGTATTGTGGGGTTGAGACTGTACCGCTTTGTGCTATTAGTCAACAGACCGGAGCATTCCAACCGAAAGGTTATGGGCCGGGGCATTTCATCCGGAAGGTTATGGGCCGGGGGTAATCCAACCAGGAGGTTGTGGACCCGTTATGTATGGGGCAAACCAGCCGAAAGGTTGTGGGCTAGGGCATTCCAATCGAAAGGTTGTGGGTCGGGGGTAATCCAACCAGGAGGTTATGGACCCGTTATCTGTTTGATTATATGTTTGTGTGGTGGTACTTTGGGGGAAATCACTAAGCTTTGGCTTACATTTTTAGTTTATGGTTTCAGGTAATTCTAAGGATCGTCGGAAGGCGAAGGTGTGATTGTACACAACTTCCTGTTTTTATGTCTTCCGTTCTTGGGAAAACTCTGATTTGAAATAATGCTTTTGAAACAATGACTCTATCTTATAAACACTATTGATTTATGGTTGGTTTTAAAAATTTTAAATTTATTGTGATTTTTTTTTAGTATTACATTAGCATATCTGAAACACACTTGATGTAATTTGTGGTGTTCAACTTGCATACTTCTGCCCTTGAAAGAACATTTGAAAGAGTTTCAGAAAGTAACAAATGTTTGTCTCGTAAATGCATCATACTGCTTCACAAATTTCCTTTCTCATTTTCTTTGTAAACCACTCCCCATATATCTTTATGAAAAACACCAACCGTAAGATTTTCCAATCCTTAATGTTATGGAAATGGCTTCCGAATATGCACTCTCTTCAAAACAGTTGTGATCTCCACATCCATCTTGGAGATTTCTTGAATATATGCTTTGATTATTCTTTACAATTATTGAATAATAGGCTCACACTTAAACTTATCTTTGGAAAAAATGTTAAACATAATAATCTAATCGTATAGATTCATCATAGGAAGGTCAGCAATGGTAAAATCAAACAACGCATGATTAACTCCTTTGCGAGCCTTGAAAGCAACATTATGTAAACTTATTAGCATTAAATGGTTTTCCAATCTTCAATCCGGATATCCTCTTGAACGTCCAAATATCATATTGAGGCTTTGAACGAGTCGCATAAAACTTGAACAATTTCTTATTCACCAAAGTGTTACTCGTCGGAGCTTTCACGGTTTGATCAAAACAGCAATAAGAGAGCCTTTGCAGTCATCGGAAAATCTAACTGGCTATCATAATCATTACTCACAGAAAAGGAAGTATTTCGTTCCGGTCAATAGATATTCAACTTCTTGATAGCGTCCTCTAGTATTCTCTCAATAGTCCAATCAGACCATAATGCCTTTTCGTACCTTTGCTGCTTCTTTGTTTCACATTTCTAAATCTTGTTGGTCAAGTTTGACTCGGGAAGAATTTAAATCATCAAGCTCTATATCTTTTACTGCTTGATCCTTTTTCACAAATTCAACATATGTTGGATCCACTTCCATATCAGAAACAATTTTAACATTTCCCTTGCCAGAAGCTACATTAACCTTCTGAGGGACATTCTTTGAATCTTTTTTTTTTTGTATCTTCAGAAACCTTTTCCACTCCCTCCTTCAACGATTCTTTTACAATAACAACCTTTTTTGCCGTTTCAGGTTTCTTGTTCGTTTTTGGCACTTCATGGGGATTTTTCAAATTGATTGGATCATGGTTCGGAGTTTCTTCATTTATCATAGCTTCTTTATCAACCCCCTCTCCCCTTGTTGCGAAGTATCCCTGCTACTCATAATACCAGAGAACTTGTTGAGCTGTGATAAAATAGGTTGTAACTTTCCGCCAAGAAGCTAAGATATGTAATCCACATCAGGAGCATCTCTAGTTTCAACAATGCAAACCAAACGTGGATTAATCTCAATATTTCAGCCTGTCACAATAGAAAGTTAATCATCCATCTTTGCAAGATTGGAATGAATATTCTTCAACTATTGTTTCGTTGTCATAATCTTTTGTGTCTTTGCAACAATAGTATCCATTAGCTTGGCTCCACCCTTGTAATTTATTTGCAAATCCATAATAGAATTCGACACAGAGGTGTGATGATCAACATTATCCTTATTTAGAGCAAAACGGAGAGCTAAAAATGCTTCGTTTTCATATGTAAAATGAGTGTAAAACTCCTTAATAGAATTCACAGCTTCAGAAAGTTTCTTATCAACAATATCATGAACATCTTTGAGAGCAGTCTCAACTTTATCAAATAACAACTTAACATCCGAAACAACTTTATCAACTTTCTCAATTGTATTTGAATTCAACTTCTGTTCCACACCAAAAATTCTTGCAGTTTCATATTGCAAGGTCTGCATAACACCTTGATGTACTGTCACCATATTTTGAAAATTAGAAGTAGAAAAGGTTTCGGCATGACGAGTTATAGAATCCAACTTCGTATTCAAAACATGATAATGTTGACGAGTCATAAGCTTAGTATCCACATCGTAAAATGTTATTGCATAAGTTGCAACGTATGGTTCTGAAACTTCTGATTCATCAGCAACCATTAAATCATCATATGATCCACATGGGGATTCCTTTTGTCCCGATTGATAATTATGGATTGTTTCTTAATTTCAAATAGTTGTAGAAACTGGTGGAACCCTTGTTGAAATAGGTTCTGAAGTGATAGGTTCATTAACAACAAGATCAGAGAATTTGGAATGTTGGACTAGATGTGGTTTGAGGTTGAGAAACTGATGTTGTCGTGGTGGATTCTATGAGAATAGGTTGAAGTTTTGGTTGAGAAATTGGAATTTGAGTAGTAAAATCAGCAAAGGTAGTTTCAAGAATTGGGTATGTGTTTTAAATAGGAATGGTAGTATTAGGAATGGAAGTAGTGGTCAGAGTTGAAGCAAAGGCATGGTTTAGAACGACGGGTGGTGTTGGTAGTGTTTGAGATTCTGAAAGGTTTAAAAGAGGATTCTACAAAGTATTCTGGTAAATATCTGCCTCTGACTGATTCTCAACAAAAGTATAAACACGAGTAGTGGGAATTGGGGTTGATACCTCTGGAGTTTCAGTCTAAAAAAATTGCTTGAACGTTTGCTTTGGAATCTCAGACTTCTTCGCAGTAGTATCACCAATCTGAATATCGTCATTGATACGAACATCACATAAAGTATCATCATTCAACTCCTCATTGAAAATAGTAGGCTTTGCTTTCTTTGATTGTCTCTTCTTTGGAGCTGAAGATTTTGCAGGTTGTACCTCAGCAACTGCCTTTGCTTTCCTTTTTACTGTAATACTTTTTAGAGCATCAACAACATCAAGAACCACTTGAAGAGCAGGTGGAATCGCTCTTTCTCCAAATGAAGAAAATTTTCCTATAGATCTTAATAATCTCAATATTCATCGGAACCCATGCCAACATTACTTCAGGAATTAAGCCAACAAAGTGAAAATTCCTGCTATCCGAAGTAAGAAACATGGATGTATTCATCTTCTGAATATCATCCATGACAGCATCCACCACTTATGGAATTTTGTAGTGATCAAGAGCTTTTTTCCTTACGTTCGAACAAAATCTTGCTCAAGATATTTTCAGTATCCTTGGACTTAGACATACGACTTTGCACAAATTGAGTTCACAGAATATGCCCAAAATCCACATTTTCACCAGAAAATAATCCATAGAGCAAAGTGTGAAAGAGCTTACTCGCACTATCAAAACTAGTAGCCCTCTCAGAGAAACACTTAAACAAAATAGTCAAAACCACATTCCATACAGGAGGAAAGCATGATTTATTGAAGGTTGAAAGAACAAATCGATCAGAATTGTACCCTATTTGATGATAAGCCCTAATAATACTTGTAGAAGGGATCAAATCAGGGTTGATAAATTCAGCATCAGGATTTAATCCTAATAACTTGCAGAAATTTTACTTTGTAATCGTCGTGCGATGTCCTTCAACGTCAAAACTAATCACTTCCGACTTCTTGTTGTAATTAGCATTGGAATGAGTCGAAATTAAATTAGATAGAGAAACAGACTTAAAATGCGTCAGCGCTTTCTTCAAGATCGAGTAGTTCAAGCATTCAATGAAGGATTGAATCACAATAGCATACTTTGAAGGATCCAAATCAACAATCATGTTTTGATTAGGTTTGAAAACATAAGAAATGGATGTAGCTGTTTGATCCATGAAGGAAATATGATCATCAGAACAATCCATTTGATCTTGATAAGAAGAACTAAGAGAATCGAAGAATTGATGGGAATAGCTTGGAATACCCTTGAATGTTGTACGAGAGTAAAGAGAAAATTGAAGAACAATTTATGTATTTATAGTGTTGGAAACCCAATTGGTTTGTAACATCCAAAAATCCAAGACCAAAAATTTTATTTTTAATTTAATAATTCATAAAGTAGATTATTGAAAACATCATTAAGTTATCTCATTTCATAAAAACTCATAAGTCATATTTCTAAAAAACATGTCGTAAAATAATGATGTCAGAGTACAAATCCCAAGAAAATCATAGCGCGGAAAATCATGATGTGATGCACTGCAGTCTTGCCGGATCCTTTCCCTTCGAAGAAGATGTACCTGAAACCAAAACTGTAAATTGTAAGCATGAAGCTTAGTGAGTTCCCCCATCATACCACATACTGTACAATACACATACGACCTAGCATATCCGGGTGTTGGCCTACCCCTTTGGTCTCTTTCAACCGGTAACTGCCTAGCATATCAGGGTGATGGCCTACCCCTTCGGTCTCTTTCAACCGGTAACTGCCTAGCATATAAGAGTGTTGGCCTACCCCTTCGGTCCTTTCGACCGGTAACGAGGACTATTTCACCCCGTACTACTACCATATATCATTCTAGTACATAAACACATAAGTCACATACCGCCTAGCATATCACGGTGTTGGCCTACCCCTTCGGTCCTTTCGACCGGTAACGAGGTCTGTCCTACCCCTCCTACCACTATCATATAATATCATAGCATACTAGCACATAAAGCATAACAAATAGTGGCATACCCGACAATTATCATACATATAATCATCTCTACTATAATCTCCTACTAGTGGGCCGACATTGGTGCCTTAGAGCCATTTCTACTGGAAGGTAACTCACCTCAATAACTGGATGTAGCTACAAAAACCCCGGCTTCGGATATCACCCGAATCAAGACCCTATACATAGAAAATTCCTTTTAATTCCCTTTTCATACTCATAACCCCTTAAGGGTCAACCTTGGTAAAAGTCCAAGTCAAAGTCAACATTCTGGTCAAATTCAATATTATAGGTTGACTCAACTCGCCGAGTTGGTCCATCAACTCGTCGAGTTCCATAAATCATAAGTCCTAAAATCGCGATCTAACTCGTCAAGTTTTCCTCCAACTCGTTGAGTTCCTCTTTCTTAACAGAAACGAGACTTCCTAATACAACTCGTCGATTTCCCTTGTGGACTCACCGAGTTCCATGAACATATTCGGGAATGTTCGACCAAACTTGTCGAGTTCCTATATGAACTTGCCGAGTCCCTTGCATTTATAGCCTATTCAGTCCTTTCCTTAGATCTAAGGCTCTATAATACAGATCCATATTGTTTCCGTAATCTATTTCTGTAAAGTTGACAACTTGATGGCTTTGCATGCCTCAAATAGACCAAAACTCGAGATATAGCAACCTACTTCCATGGACATGGCCTTTTCTTGGACAAGGGCGGGTTTAAGACCCTTTTTATGATTCTAAGGGCCAAATAACACTGGAACTGGGAATCCTTAGCATAAGATCTATTAAGGGCATCATGATTCCCACAATGGGGTCCAAAAGACCAATAAAGCAAAACTAAAAGAGATCTAAGCTATGAATCATCAAGGTGAGGACTTTTTACCTCAGAATGTTGCCAAAGATGGACGAAATCCCAGATCTAATGCTCCTCCTCAATCCTGATGACTTCTGGTTCTTCCAAATCCTTCACCAAGCACAGTAACACACACAAGTCCACTCAAAACTTCAAGTTTCTCACCAAAGAGCTCACAATGCGATTTAGGGTTTTAGGGAGGCCGATGGAAAGGATTAAGTCCTTTAAATAGGGTGCAAAACGCTAAAAATTAGGGTTTCATTCTGCCAGCCCTACTCGTTGATTTGAGGCTCTCAACTCGTCGAGTAGACTTCGCAATCCGTGTCCCAAGTCCATCTCTACTCGACGAGTTTGGGGCCTCCAACTCGTCGAGTTTCTAAACAAAATGAATAAATTACAACTTTAAATACATACCAGGAACCGGGCGTTACATGGTTCTTTTTGAATTTGAATCGAGGAGAGAGAATAGCACCGACTCATGCAGTAAATGCCCGTCTCTTCACATGCCAGCATAAATTCCTGTTAGATCTATATGCCAAAGAATCATTATTGGGTGACATTGCTAATGACATATGATCCTATAGGGTCACACCTTTATCAAGTTGGTACATATTGAATATTTATTAAGTAATGTAATATTAATAAATAAATTCAACTCTTGTATTTAATTAGAGAAAAATTATTGTTCTATGAAAACAATATTGTAAGAAGTAGAAACATAGTCTTTATTTGATAAGGTATCATATAATAAGTCATGTACAAAGTTTTGGACACTTTGGTTAACCATGATTAAATCAAATGCTTACTCTATCATCGTTAAAGGACTAGTGAACATTATTTATATAAATGAGACCTTATGGCCGAAAGTTGTAGGAGAATGGAGGTTGCTTGTCAACCTCCATCATGTTGTTCCCCATGCCTCTCCTTTATAGCCCATACTTTTGAATATTATATTCAAGAGGCCATGCTTAAATGGGGTTATAAATAGAGGGTCTTATACATGGAGAGTGTGCTAGTTTTTTGGTCTAAAAACTTCTTCTTCTTTTCTCTCAAAACCGTGAGCAACTTAAGAGCTTGGAGCTCTTTCCTCTTTTGAAGACATTACTTGCTTTTGGTGTTCATCTTGTGTCTTCCTTTAATGCTTAATTGATTAAGCACTTAAGGCTTAAATAACAAAGTTGTACAAGAAGAAATCTAGCAATTTTGGTACCTTATTTTTAGTGGTGGATTACTTGTAGAGAAGATCAAGCTCCTTTTCTTGCCATCTACTTGAACACCGCAAATCCAAGAGAGTCCAAAGGCTACAAAGGTTGTTATTTCTACACACCCTATGGCTGTTGTAACATCATTCTAACCTCTTTAAAAGGATCCTTGATGGTTTGTTTTTTTGCCACACTCGAAATTTATAAGAAAATTTTAAAGCTACCGCTGCCGTTTTTTTGTGAAAAGCTATCTATTTTATGTAACAAAACTCATTCAGTGGTATCAGAGCCATCTTTTAAATGTTAGAATGATTTTTCATGTTATGATAATCTTTGCTTTTTGAAAAACAAGCATGGATTTCTTTTTGACTAAAGAAATGTAATTCTCGTGTTTCTAGGCTAGGCATAAATATTGACATTATAGTCTAGGTTAACCTTTGTAACTCATTTTGAAGAAATGAAAAGGAATTATGTGAATATTATGC